GTTGGGCCCCGTTATTGTCAAAAACGCTACAATACCAGCAGGTCAAATCTCCATTAATCACTTCTCAGAGCAACTGGTATTACGTTGCGTCGGCTTGAAATGTCTGCGCCGCTCTCCTTATTAAATCTCATCTGACGCAGCCGTGATAACTTATCTCTCAGCTGTCGCGGCTGATGGAGTCAGTTTGTAGGGCTCGATGTCAAAAATGACATTTGTAGCGCAGACGTGCAGACAATACCGCCTGTACACACGGCACTCATTCCCTCATTACTGATGTTTACCAGGCATTGCTATACATCTTCATCAGCTGAGGGTCACCCCTGCTGGATGGCAATTCAGAAGCGAAGCAAAACCCGTTAGTGAAATGAATAAGTGACCTTGCTGACAGCTTTCATAATATGAATTCACAGCAACAGATTAAATAACCAAATGAAAGAAAAGAAAAAAAAAACAACTCTTGAAAACACTTTTGGACTTTGGGTTATTACACCTGACAAGCTTCTTTTTTCCCCCCCTATTTTACTTCAGTGATGTGTTTTCAGTGTTTTTTCTGGTGTTGTCTTGCTTCCCTTTTCCATTCATACAGTCATGCATTTCATCCCCTACCTCAGAGGTCACTTATATTTGGTGACGTAGCGCTCGTCATAGAGCCAAATTAACATTGAATGTTGTTTTCACTTCTGGCGGACGTGGATACCTTATATATTCCTAAGGAAATGTGGAAATAACAAGGGTTTTTATGTTTTTTGGAAAGTTTAAAATTGCAGGGAATAGTGTGTGTAAGTTTAAAAATTTATAATATGTGGCCACTTCCTTTTTGTAGACTGATTATGTCATCCTATCAAATAAGTTAAGATAATACTTAATCAATTTAATGTCGGAAGACAAATAATTGGGTTTAAGATTAAGATTACCAAAAAAAAAAAAAAACACCTTGGAGCACCTCACAGATTAACTCCTCCTTATGATTACTTTTAAAACTGGCATTAATTAACTCCACCTAAAAGGATTTTTCAGTTGGATTTAGCATTGTGGCTAAAACAGCTATAACATTTAGTCTTCCCACTTAAAATATCTTTTTGTGTCTCTCTCTACCTGAAAATGAACAAGACCTAAATTCCCGTTTCTTTTCAACATCTTCTTGTCTCTTACAAAGCACTCGAAGGACACAAGTTTTGTTAAGCTAATTCAGTAACTCAGCACTCAACTGGTTGATGGCTAATGATTCTATTTTCCCTCCTCAAACTGGAATGATGGTAATTTTGTTTCATTGAAAATGCTTTGTACCAGTAGAGATTAAATGGCATGTGAGTAGGAAGAACAACAGTTTATCCCAGACGTTCATGGTTCACAGCGATATAATTTTCAAACAGTTATTTCAACAAATGTGGGATTTAAGTGGAAGGACTGAATACAAACCACATCAGAAAGACTAGCTGAGCACCCTACATACATCTGGCCTTTTTATTTTTTATTTTCCAAATTGAGTAATGTATCTAGGACAGGGTGGCACGCTAGGGCTGGTGTTACAGACCTCTGCTCTATAGGAAATTAATATGAGACCATTATGGACCTCATGGAGGCCCATTTCTCAGCCAATTTGCTAATCATGTACTGTAAATGTTGACTGTGATTACAAGCCGTTTGCCTAAAAGCATTTGGAACCTGAACAGAGGTTATATTTAAGGATATTAAAGGATCCTGGGGAAAAAAGAGCAATCTGAAGTCAACCCTTTGATTTGATGACCTGATCTGTAAAGCACAACAATGTTACTCTTGTAAACACAGGATTATCTTTAAGTAGGGCGTGGTTGCTCTGATGCCTTCAGTGCAGAAAAGGGTTTGTCTCTCCGTGAGCAGCTAGCCTTAAGGCACCGCCAAGTAATTCAACCTCAAGTAGCATGTCAGCGAAATGCTCTCAACAATAATAATGCTTCATGTTGGTGTCAGTTTAAAGCTCTTTCCGTACTCTGCTGACACAATGCACTTGATACATGTATTATTCGGCCAAGTAGTTTTTGAGAGGGTGTGCATATTTAACAGATTGATTGCGATATACATATTGTTTATGGCGAAGAGATAATGGCTTTGAGTTTCACTCTCACTAATCATTTGCATTCAGGGTGATGAAAGAAGTTGAAGGTGCCCTTAGATTGAATTTATAGGTAGTTAGGCGAAGACTATTCCCTTAGACTGTGTAAGAAAGCCATCACGATGAAAGAGTTTCAAGTATACATGATGCATACTTCACCACAGAACAAACAGTGCTTGGGAAAAGTCTACCCTTTGAAGGATTTCACATTACAGCATCTGACTTTCTAGTATTTTCTGCAAAATGTTTGTGATAGACCACAAACAAAGGGCAATGGAAACGCTCTAATTTTGACAAAACTCACATTTTTCGATAGGTTTTCGTGCTGGGATGAGATGGTGCTTCAGATGTATCATAATTAGAATATTTCACAAAACTGCAATAGAAACACTTGTTTCACATCACACAAGTTCTCATCACTAACCGGTTATTACTACTGGCAGAAAAGACGATGACAGGAAGTGTTCGGAGGATGATGACACGCCATGTTTTTAATGACTAATAGCTTGTAGAAACTTAGTCATGTGCAATTTGAATTGCATTTCTAAATCTAATGGCAAAATTGTGTTAGCAGAATGTTGTCAAAGTTTTGTGCACATCTGTAATGGAAATGGCCGTGTAGTTGTCTCTCCTTGCCTGGCTTGCCAATTTAGGTGACTGGTCATGCATAATGTGAAGATTTATCAAAAATCCATACTTTTTCAAACTGAAATGTCTAAACATCTGTTGTATTTTTAAAATTTTCTAAGCAAAATACATTTACTGTAATTATCAACTAGTTGGATAGAAAAACAGCAAAAACCAGAGACTATAAAAAAGATGGCCGGATGGATAAATGCATGGTTGGATGACTGAATGAAAGGATGGATGAAGAAATGGATGGAAGTGCTTCGTGGACGTACGTGTGAAGACTTTTTCAAGGTGGAGTAGTTGTCTTATTGCATTTTGTTCACCCTTCGTCGTCACTTAAGTCCTCGCCTCTTACTTAATGTCTTTTTTGTGTTTGTATTAAATATTTAACCTATCCCATATACACAAGGCTGTAGTCAAATATGTTTTCTTTAGAAACTTTCTTATTATCCCAAAAAGCACCTCATTATACCACATACAGTACATAATGACCCTTGAATTCACTTTCTCTAATGGGTTTTTGCCCTGCAGCCGTAATTTTCATGAACCCTGTTGAGCTTTTGTAGAGCAAAAATGATCATGTTTGTTTACAATGAAACCTCTGTGGGGAGCTTTAATGTCGCAGAACTTATGAGGAATTCTTTTCATACTTTGTGTTATCACACGTTGTTCTGTTGCGATGAGGTCTGAAGGTTACGTGATGTAATAGAGGCAAAGTTTTACTGTGAACTTGTGACAACATTCCACATATTGCATTTTTTCCCCCTTTCCAGCTCCTGAAAAAGTGGCTTAAGGAGCATGAGATATGATTTTCACACATGGATTAGCTGCTACAGAGTGCAAATCTCAACCCCATTGAGAATCTATGTGACGTTCTGGAGATGGATTTGCACAGTGGTCTAAACAATGTAGGTTTTTTTTTTCTTAGTTTTGAAATGAAGGCGGTTATTCACTATTAAAAGACAAAAACGTGTTATCTAACGTACCCCAAGTCTTTTGTTGTGATTAGAGCAGACTTTTTTTTTTCTTGTTTCCTGTTGGTATCTTGACAGACTTTGACAAAGTAGAGATGATTTCAGGTTCCGTACAGTCTACCAGAATGTTATCTTTTCATTTTATGCACACTGCCTGCAGTGAGACAAAGACCGGCAGAATAAAGGCTTAGGGCCCAAACTCGTGGCAATCTCCAGACGGTTACAAAAGAAGCAGGCGGTGAAAGGAGCAGTGCGGTGCAACACTTCTGAATGTTTTATTGGATATGAAGAAAGGGGCACAAAATCTTCACTGTTTCCTTTGCCATTTAATGGCTTTAAAAATCATTGGTTCCCTGCAAACACCAGCCGAACATATAAAAAATAGGTTCAACGGGGTGGCTGCGGAATAAATCGTTTTCATGGAGGATTTTGAATGTGAGACTATTGCTCTGTATGAATTATTCATTTACTATTTTCTCACTTTATTTGACCACCAGACCTAAGGTCTCTATTAGTCCTGTGTGAAACAAGTATTTGTTAATGCTTAAGCAATAAATAAAACCCCTTTATACAGAACTTGGAAAAGGTCACAAATTTGTATAATTACTGCTCATAAATCTTTAGGTGTTTGTTGAAAGTCAACTTTCTTGGGGCTGAGAACTGCTGATATTATACAGGTTTTTTTTTTTTTTTCCTACTCAGAAATGTAAAATGGAAGAATGAAAACTAGTGTTTAAATTACGGATTTAAACTTCTTGAAATGTATCATTTTTAACTACTGGTCCTATCAAAAAGAGGTTACTGGTAAGTGTTCAAACACTTACCAGTAACCTTTATGGGAGGACTTTGCATATTCTCTCTGTACCTGTTGCTTGGTTATGTTATTTCTGTGAAAAATTTTGAAGAAAACAGAGACCATAAACCCTCCTAAATACAATTTGTGACGGTTGATTTTATTTAACTGACTTTATTTACCTGAATCGGCTTTCTCCATGTTGTTTCTCCGTCTGGCTATTTTTCCCATTTCTCTTGCTGTCATTCCTCGTATTCCTCAATTGTCTCTTTACCTCATTGCTCTTCATCTCCTTTCTTCCTCGCTACTCCTCCACCTGGCATCCCTTTATTTCCTCCTACCCACTCATGTTTCCCGTTTTTCTCCACCTTTCCATCATCCCTCCAATGTTTTTGCATCAGTCTCCCTGAAGTCACCCTCCTTATCCTAATTGCTGCCTCTCCATGCAGACTTCCGCCTGTCATTTCTCTGTTGCTCCTTTAACCGTTCTTCCTCTTGTCTCCTTCTGCAGCTGGGATTGTTCGAAAAAGGCAGTGGTGTGAGATGGTTCCGTGTTTGGAGGACGAAGGCTGTGACCTGTTAGTCAATAAATCTGGATGGACTTGTACACAGCCAGGAGGCCGAGTCAAAACCACCACGGTGAGTTTGGAGGCCGGTTGAGCTCACGCACAAACCAGTTCTCATAAAAACATAAATTCCAATAGATCCGTTTTATGTATTTTACTTGAATAATAATAACAATCATTGAACAGTTCTTTTTCTTGCCAAACAAGCTAGCAAGAGGTCATTTTTCAAATACAGCAGTCATTCACTGCTTCCCAATCAAAGTACTGAGTGCACACTCACATACTTTATAATAGGTGGATATTTCCCAATATATTTATGTGACGTATGGAAAATGACTTAAATGTCCGTAGCTGACCTGATTTGCCAATGAGAGCGTTAATCGTTGAGCAGCAGTCACAAATATTCCTCCCAAAGAATTTGCGTTCTCTCCTGCCATCTTTTTAAACCCCACAAACTCTTTGTGCTTTGTTTACTTCCTCATCAGCGGCAATTAGTTTAAATTAGAGACTCTTAATGGTAATGATGGCAGCAGATGGGAAGCTGCAGCTTGTGTTGGTTAAAACTCCTCCCATCCATTCATCCACACCTTATATCCACTGAGCCGAGCCTCTTCCTCCTCCGTTCTTCACTTCTCTTCCTCCTCACCCTTCACAAACTTGCATCACACTCTCTCATTCAGCAGCTTCGTTATTACAGGGGTCCAAACTGTCACTTGTCTGTCTGTCTCTACTGCGGCAATTTAGGAAATCTCTTTAAATGTGACTCGGCAACAAAAACCACAGCAAGCAGCTGCTTTTCATGCATTTGTCAACGGGGCATCATTAATGCATCTGTCATGATTTGGTAACCATCAGTGTTTATGTCTTTCTGCTGACATGCACACACACACACACACACACACACACACATGCTCCAACATGCACATTAGCACAGAAGACTTGATATGGTAAACATAGGAGCCAACTAAAATCCCGTACATGAATATAAATTGCAGTGCTGAGCAATGACACAAAACAGAAAATGAGCCTGCCTGTGGACACACGTTACCTACAATGTAGTTTATTATCAGAGCTCTCACACCATTTGTTAGATGCGGCTGGCCACGACAAAACCAGGAACAAGTTTCCCCAGGGCCATCTCGAGTTATTTACAGATTCACAAGGTGTGGATTCTTTTTAGTGATGTCAAACCATAAAAAAAAATAATAAAAAGAAAAAAAATAAGATATTGTCATTTGAATGGCAGCAACATTGGCAGTAAAACAACCCTAAAAAGCTTCAGAAAATTGTCCCCAAACTTCATTACTTGAGGGTGTTCATTTCCGTTCCTGTGCAGTAATCCCACTTTCCCCTAGCATCAGCTGTCAACAGGTATGACAGAGGAAGTGTGCCGACAAAAGTGAGCTGTTGTATGGCTTACCTAGCTACAAATATATATTTTAGTTTTCAGCTTGTGCACTGTTTTCCTGTAAAGCTGTGAGCTTCTGTCTTGTAAATGTTTGTCTTGTAGTTGTCTGTGAACCCTGTAGTGGAATTAAACCATGTCTAAATTGTAGCTGGAGGTTTCTATGTTTCTCAACTTGTGATATATTTTTATAAAATATAAAATCTGTCTTGTATGTATTCACTGATTATATAAATATGCATTTAAATTAAATCAAAATTATAATTGGTGTTGGTGTGTGCAGAGGATTATAAGCAAGAAAAGTTGTAAAAAGACAAAGAACGGCTCTCGCTAACAGACTCCAGTCCTGTAGTTGAAGATAAAGGGTCGTTCATGAACTACCCCACAGTCTGACCCCACATAAGCAGAAGATAATAACAAACTGTTTTCTTTTTGCTTGAAGAATTTAGTTAATTTAGTTTAGGTGTTACAGCTACTAAATGCAGTTAGTCGGCACGGCGCGTAGCACTGCTCAAACCCACCTGGTCAATACATTAAAGATCTGTTATTGCTGTACCAACCGTCTAGACCCCTCAGATCTTCTGGTTCTGATCTGCTCTGCATCCCCAGAACCAGAACCAAACGAGGAGAAGCAGCATTCAGTTTCTATGCACCACGGATTTGGAACAAACTTCCAGAAAACTGTAAAACAGCTGAAACACTGGGTGCCTTTAAATCTCAGCTTAAAACCCACCTGTTTAGAGTTGCTTATGGCAATTAATGCTTTCAACGTATTTGATGTTTTTAATCTTTTTAATGATTTCATCCTTTCTTTTTACTTTATTTTTATTTTTCTTTCTCACTGTTTCCTTGTCAAACGATGTTTTGAAAATCATGTAAAGCACTTTGAAATGCCTTGCTGCTGAAATGTGCTATACAAATAAAATTTGATTGATTGATTGATTGGTCACCATCACAGCACTCTCAGTACAGCTGCAATGTCTGGGTGCAGATGACCTGCTACATATAATAATTATGTTCTATAAACAATAAAAATTCGG